ATTCTTTTGCACTCCTTGGCCTTAAATGTTCTGATTTGGTCTTTTTTATAAAGTAAAAGACGTGCTCTTTACCTGTGCTGTGTCCTTCACCTTCCTGCTCGCATCCTGGGTGGCTGATTCTTGCTTTGCCAGGTAGACAAAGATCTTTCCATCCATTTGGCAGCTCCAGGGGGATTGTTCAGAGGGCTGAACGCCAGGATGGTGCCTGGCTGCAAATTAAGGAGCCTCTGGGGAAATCCCCGTTGGCATGCAGGGAAACCTGGACCTTCCCTGAGGGTTGATGCTGGAACTGAGCTCTGGAAAACCTGAGCCTGGGGCCAGAATTTCCATCTTGTCCCTGTGATGTCACCAGGCCTTGGTAGGAAGTGCAGGAATCACTCGGGAGCTGCTGCTGTCCCTGATGTCTGGGCAGGATCAGCTCAGGGAGGGAGGTTGGCTCAGCCTCCGACCCTGTGACTTGAAGGACCAGTTCTGTGCTTCCCAATTTCACTACAAAAGCTCAGGATAACCTGCAGAGCTTCATTCCCTCCCGCCCTGACCTTCCCTCACCCTCCCAGGGCAGAGTATGGGGGGCGTGGGTGGGTTCTCCCCCTGGTGCTCAGGACCAACTCGAGAGATGTGTTTCCTGGAAGGATTTCAAAGCCATGAACAGGTAAGTGCTGCCTTCTCTCAGCTGGGAAGGGTCTCTGGAGACGGATCCCTCTGAGGGATCCATGTACTGCCCAGCCCAAGCCAGCCCACAGTGGTTCCCTGGGATTGGCTTAAGGCAGCTTGGGAACTCTGCAGGGAATGGCTGCAGGAGTGTTAAAGAAATTCCTTTCCCTCCCCCACACCCTGAACTGCTGAATTATTTATTTCCCTGTGGCTTAGACCTTGGAAAGCAGATGGATGGACCCTAATTCCTCACAGCCTGCTCCTTGTAGTAACAGTGGAGCTGAGGCTCCTCCTAAAACTAAGCAGTAACATTAAATAGTGTCTGCTTCCCTCCTTGGGGTTTTGCTGTTCCATCACTCTTCCCAAAGCAGCCCTGCAGTTTGGGATATTTCCCAAATGGTCTGAGCTGCAGTAGTCATTAATAGAAGCTGAGCCAAGAGCAGCTGTTGGAAAAGAAAAAAAAAAAAAAGGCTGGGGAAAACTTCTACCCTATGGAGAACTCTCTGCAGAGCCTGTGTGCCTGCAAGGTTTTGCTTTTAGAGAAGGGGCACAGGGGAGGGACCTGTGAGGAGTGAGGATGAGGAGCTTGGGATGTGCCAGCAGCTCCGGCTCCGGAGGGTGGCAGCACCAAAACAGCTTCTCCAGGTGACCTGGCACAGGTGTGGAAAGACAAAGGGACCTTTATCACCTGTCAGCCTCCAGCAGGGCCATTCCCAGCCTCGGGAAACATCTGCGGGGTGCCAGGACAAGGATGTGTTTGTAGGGTTTGGTTCCCAGTGTCCCTCGTGGTGCTCAGCATTCCCCTGCTCCGTGGTCTCCAGTAACTCGGACTGAGGTGGGGCTTTGCATTCTTTAAGACAGTTGGGCATTGTCAGAGCCCGGTTTATTCCAGGGGGAACTGCCTTTGGAAGCAAAAGGGTGCTCCTGATTCACCTTGGCCCGGGGGGGAAGTCTGTGGCAGCGGGGTGTTTGCAGAGGACAAGGCCATCAGGAGAAACACCTTCTGTTCCGCTGCCCCCAGGGGCTGAAGTCCAGGGATAGCACTGGGATCAGCTGGGTTCAGCCCCGGCCATTCACCCCCGCGGGGTTCGGAGCAGCAGCAACGGCCTCGTTCTCCCAGGGCTGTTTGCCTTCTCCTTTTATCTCCCTGAAAGGCCAAATGGCACTCCTTCACCCCAAAAAACCCTTCCCGGGGGGTTCCTGTCGCTGCCTTTTCTCTTTGCCTTCTCTCAGCTGCCTCCTGCGAGTGACACCAGATCCCAGTGCCACCTGGAACCAGCAAATTTGGGATTTTCACGGTGGTTACTCCCAACCCTGCAGTGGCTGAGGACAGAACAGCCCCAGGATTTTGGGGTTGGGAACACTGAGGGAGCTCTGGACTTGGAACAGGCTGCTCCCACCGTGCTGCCAGATCCAGGCAGCTGCCAACCGTCGGGAAAAGGTCGGGCTTGAGGCTCCTGGTGCTGGATACAGGGCTGAGGAGGAAACGGGGAAATAACAAAGCTACAGGTTGGGCTGGGGGTGGTGCCATGGACTCTGCTGGTTTATGACTGCCCTGGTGCCTGCCTGTGCTTGTCCCTTAGGAGGGGCCGGCGGCTGGATGCGGATCCTGCTGCAGGTGCAGAGCCCAGCCCTGTTCCTCCATCTCCAGCACCTCCAGGGAGCAGCAGCAGTGCCCTGACGGAGCTGAGAGCGGGGTGAAGCTCGTCACATGCCCCAGGACAGCTCAGTCCTTCCAGCTCACCTGCCCCACACCCCAGGGTTCTGTGCAGACGGCAGCAGGGAGCTCATTCTGGGGCTAAAATCTTCAAACCCAGCATGGGATGGCTTTTTTTTATGGAAAGGGGAGACCCTGTTGTTTTATCAGGGCCAAACCATGGACAGGCAGGTGTGTGTAGAGAGATTTGTAAGATAAACAGGCAGGAGAACCTGGAGAATTCCAGAGGCAGCTGCTCCAACCCAGGCCCTTGCTCACCCTCAAGGTCATGCTCAGCCGGGTGGGGGCTGTTTTTTGACCCCAAGAACCTATAAAACTGGCAAAGTGTTGTACTCCTCAAAAAAATACTACCCACCACCACCACACCAGGTGCAGTGCCAGGCTGGACTTTGCCCAAGCAGGATTTGTGACTGCTCCCTCGAGTAGGAGGTGGAAATGTTTCAGGGAGGCAGAGGGAAGAACCACAGGAGCAGGATCTGGGATAGCCTGGACTGACAGAGCCCAGGATTTCGTGACACTCTCCTCCTTAGCTTGGCATAAAGGAGACCTGGGGCAAGGGTGG